TAAGAGGCTGCAAAAATAGGTATTATTTTATATTTATTTTAAGGAATTCAAATATAAAAATTAAATTAATAAGATATACAATAAAAATAAGAATAATAACAATAATCATTAAAGGACAATTTGTTAAGTTTTTTATTAAATGATTGATAAAATTTATTTATTATTTTATTAACGAAGTTGTAATGATTATCTATAATATATAGTTATTTATGTTTTATTAAAAAAATTCTAAATTATATTTTGAATAATATATTAAAAATAATCATATGTTTTTATAGGCTTAGTTTGTAATTTTTGATTTTGTCATCCCAGAAGGTGCTTTTTGAGACTAGTCAATTTAGGTATTGGTTTGCAATAAGATATTTGCTGTTTATAGAGGTTAATAAGTAGGTTAAACTTAATAAGTTGATGCTTATATATTCTAATACTATTATTATTATTATTATGGTAATTAGGTAGTTGAAACATTATGATTAATAAGTATTTCTTTTGGACCTTTTGATTTATTGGTTTTTTTTTTTTTCTGTGATTCATATTATTCAGTTATTTTGTATACTGGTTTTGGAGATTCTTCAACTTTTGATTTTCTCTTTTTTTCTTTTTCCTTTGACACACTCTTCATGAAATAAGCATCATTTTCATTATCAGGAAAATAATCGTATTATTATTATCTTCCTCTATATCTTCGTTAACGATTTGCATCATCCATTTCTTCTGGATATTCATTTTCTCTTATTAAACTATCTCTAAATACAGGTTCTCTAATAACAATGGGATCTCTATAAACAACTTAATCAACAGGGGGATATGGATCATAATATCTTGGTGGAGGTGGAATATCATAAACTGGCATTGGTTCAATAATTCTTGGAGGAGGAAGAACTTCTGGTTCTAAAGGTTGACGATTGAAAAAAGCATATCTCTCTAAGACCCATAAAAATCTTGGTAAAAATGATGGATCGACGAATAATTGAGGAATATCCACTCCATATTGTCTATATTGAGGTGTTGATGTTTCAAGCATTTTAATTAATTTTTCTGCTTCATTCAAAATTGTATCATTTTTTTTTCTTAATTCTTCTTCACAGTATTCAATTACTTTTTCAATTGATGCTACTGGATTATTTATGGATTCTAAATCTTTGATATTTTATTCCCATTTTAATTTTAAATCTTTTATAGCAGGTTTAACATTAATATCAGGTAAAGGTTCTTCAATCTATGTTAAAAGATAAGTTTTCAAAGTTTCAAAATAATTATTAACAATTGCTATAACTTAATCTCTTGCAGATTCTATTAATTTAGTTGGATTTGTATATAATGATTTCTTTCCAACTAATTTATCAGTAGTTGTTCTTTCTGATAATTATTAAATTTTATTTATTTGATCACACATTTCATTACAATCTGCAGCTAAATTTTAATAAATTTCTGAAAGTATGGTTTCAAAAGGTATAATATTACCTAAAGTTTATTAAATATGAAATTACTTTATGTTTAAGTATGATATTAAGTTAAATGCTGCTAAACACATTTATCACATAATGGCATTAAACATTCAGGTTATCTGCAAAAGTATTTGATGTAATTATTTGGATTGTCTTAATGGTAATAACATTGAATTCTAGGCATATTATTAGAATCAAATCGATAATGTGGCTAAATTTTTTAAATTGATATTGTTGGTTCATAGATAGAAGCTTAAGGGAGTTGTGGTATAGACGAGTTATTCATATTTAATATTTATTATTTCAGTTAATTTAAAACAGTTAAAAAAAATTAAAATTCAATATTCTAAATCCTCTTCATTAGATATTTAAGGATATTCATTTTCATCTTGTAATTCTTCTTATGCTATAATAATATCAATAGGTTATTCCTCTTCTCTTTCTGATTAATCATTTTGAATGGTTTATTCTCTTTAATCAGATTAATCAATTTATGGTTCTTCATCTTATTAATCTTATTCAACTTATTCTTCTTCTTCTTATTCTTCTTATACTTCTTATTATTATTCATAATTAATATATTCATTCAATAATTCTAATAGATTATTTAATTTATTATGATTTATTAAAATTTTAGGTGCATTTAAAGTAGAAAAATCAATTTATTTTAGTTCATCAAAAGTTTATTCAAGATATTATAAATATTTATTATTTAGTTTTTCTACATCTCCTTAATAATATAAAATTATTTAAGTGACTGAGTTTTCATTCTTTAAATTTTCTAATTCTGACTTAAGTTAATCAAGTCTTGTTGAACATATTATTAAACGATCCTAAGCCGAATATAGTTTATTAATTTCAGGTGTAGTTGAAAATAAATATGATTTTAGATTGCTAAAATAGCTTTTTATTAAATCAATAATTTGATTCTCAGAAGACTGTATTAAATTCATCCAATTTTATGGACATTAAAAATTAATGATTCTATCAATATAATTGTGCAATTATCCAATTTTATCTGAAAAATATTCTAAATTATCTGACATTTTCTTAGAAACCTCAGACAAACATTTCTAATAAGAAATTACATCCTTAGTATCATTTTATTCCTAATGTTCTTCTATATGAATATCTAAACAAATTTTGCATAAAGGTTAAAGACAATCAGGTTTCTTACAGAAATATTTTAGTTTTTCATTTGGATGATAATGACATTGAATTTCCTTATAAGTATTACCTTATTTTTCAGGTTATTATTTTATATTTCCTTTACTTTAATCACCCTTGCTTTTCATTAAAGATTATAAAATTATTTATATACACTTTATTATTTCAATTCCGTTGTATATAAATGAAAAACTTAATTAGAATATTATTATATATATAATTGTTTATAGTTCATAAAAGAATTCTAAACAATTATATAATATTATGAGCTTAAAAGAATTTTATAAGAAAATCATACATTTAATAAACATTGAAAGAAAATGATAATAAAGACAAGAAATTTATTTATTCATAAGCTCTGAAAGAGAATGAGATATAAATTTTCAATTTTATTCTAAAACTAAGAAAAATTAACAAGTATTCTAAAACTAAAAAATGAATTAAATATTTTTATGAATAAACTTTTCTTCTAATTTCTAAATACAATAAATTCTTTAAAAATCAAAACTTAACTCTATTATATAATTATTTTCCAAATTAATTATGAACTTCAGGTTCAACTAAATCTAATGGATTAGGATAAAAGGAAGGCAAAACTTAATTCTATTCTAACATCTTTAATACTATTATTATGCACAATAAAAAATAATTATACCTAAATATCCTTAATTCTTCAAGTATTTAATTTATTCTTATTCCTTTTCATCTTTACATTCTCTAAATATCCATTATGCTTCCTTTAATTTTTGCATTCTTTCTAATCTTCTTTCATAAGTAATTGAAATTTATTTTAAAATTCTCCTATATAAATAAATAACTTCATTTGATTATTCTGATTGGTATATTTCCATTATAGCTGTTGTTTAGGGCAACAGTCCAAGTCTTTTACGAATAAAATTCATAAATTTAATTATTTAAAATAATTATAAATAATATATTATTATCCCTATAAATTTTAAAGATATATATATAATTACTATAAAGAATATTATGATTTATAGTACCAATGTAAATATAAATTGTTTATCAATATATAAAATAAATTATTTTATTTTATATAAATTAATAACATTTTTCATTCTAAATACGTTGCAATCATACAAATAGATTTAATAAAATATCAATGAGTATATCAATATTAAAGAATAAACTATATTAATAATATGATTTTAATTTACTATTAACCATATTTTTTATCTTTTTTCTGATGTAAGTGCAGCAGGTTGAGTCTAATTAATTTTACTAATTTGATTTATATATGAAATATAATGATAAAAACAAAAAAGGAATTCATAAATTGTATTATAAAAGATTTGTTTTAAAATTAACATCAAAAATTGGCATTAATCTATCTTAACTTTTGACTTATAATAGAGAAAATACATCATTCACTTCTGTTTATTGATATAATGAATTTTGTATATTAGAACTATTGTTTTCTCTAGATGTAGAAATATGATATTTTCTTTTTTGTTTAAAGAAGTTTTCTTAATTATTTTTAGCATAATGAGATATGCTAGATAGAAATTAACTTCTATCTCTTTATTTTTATGTTTAAATAGCAGGTAAATGATTTATTAAAGTTTAAGATGCACCTTCAGTGGCTGGCAATTTCTTTATTTTAATTTTACTCTCCTATTCAACAATTTCAATATTATAATGTTTGTTTAAAATTTAGTTAACCCAACTTGATCTATATGGATTCTCTATCTAAATTATATTATATAATAATAACTTCTATGGACCAATTTAAATCTTCCAAAATTTTCTTACTTTCTATATGTATATATATTTGATTCATCCAAATAAGGCTTACTTGAAAATTCTATAAATTTAATTGGTTCTGATTATTCTGCAATATATTGAGAGCTCTAAATAAAGATGTTTGTCTTTTTCATTTGTGTTTAATTTTATAAAAAAATTATATATTGATTTTTTGATTTGAAATGAAGGAATTTAAAGATTTATTAATTTAATCGCTTAAAAACTCATTTGCAAATTGGTTAAGATAAAAAGATTTATAAATAATAAGCTATAACTAATAATATGAGAAATTGTTAATGTTCCAGAAAATTTAGCTAGATTTTATTACTCTCTTTGCAAACCAGAATCAAAGAATTTATCTTAAAGTCTTTTAATTAATCCTCTTTATTATTAAAAATCAAAAATTGATTATTATTATTATAATGATTCTAAGTTTTAGTTTAAATTACAATATTGCCATTTGTTTTGAGAATAAATCTAGTATGCAATGATAAATATTAGCAATAGGAAAAAGTCATAGAATTTCATTATAATATATTAATAATTCCAATCTATTTGAAAAATGGTGAATTTTTGGTAATGAATTGACATCTATAAAAATTAGTTGATGGCTCTTTGTTTATGAATTAAAATAAAAGATTATAAAATATTTATTTTATAAGAGTTTAACAAAGTGAAAGGAACAAGATATATTAATTCAGAAATAATATGATACTTTTGAGCTTTAGGATCTGCGTAAAAATGATGGAGAGACTTAAATATCTAAGATCTTCAAAAGGAATGAATGATAAGTATTTGATAAAAGAGATTTTTTATTTAGACCAGCTTTAGTAAAAGAAGCAAAAAATGATTTAGATGAAATGCTAAAGATAATACAATAGATGCAATCTATTCAATTATTACAAAGACAGAGAATGTAAATAATATTTATAAATTGAAATATAGTCACAAAGATAACAAACTGTATAGATTTTGATTCAAGTATTCTAAGATTCAAATGAAAAACTAAAAAAATTAACTGATCAGTTATTATCAAGATAGAGGACAAGCTTATAGTCTGCAAAACAATCTTTTAAAGATCATCATAATGATAATTAAATAGATGTATAATTGTTAGATGAAATATAATATGATGAAGACTTTATATAAAGAAGGAATTAATAGATAAGTGAAATGGGATAATATTATTATTATAGATGTTAGAGTTATATACTAATTAAATTAAATGATGACAGATGGAGCTAAAATGATACAAGAACAAGGATTAAAAATTGATATAATAAATTAAGAAGTGAACAATTCTAAATAGAAAGTGAAAGAAGCTGATACAGAATTGAAAAAAGCATCTTAAGTTTAATAAGGAAATAATGGAAGAATGTAATATTGTTTATAAATTTAGGTTATTCTTTTGTGGCATAATTACTTTGTTAGTTGTGATTATAGTATTGTTATTTAGTGCTGGTTCTAGACCTTATCAAGATCCTAATGCTTAATAATAATAATAATAAAATTGATATTAATATTCATTATATTATTCACCACAAATGAAATTGAAACAATTTTTCATTGTAGCAGTCAAACCAATTAAAATTAACAAAACTTAAGAACGCATTGGTAAATTGCCTTCAAAATATTTGTTATCTCCAGTATTAAAAGAATAGAATGATATAAATCTTTAAGAATTGAAAGAATAAACTAATTTAGATTTTCAATATTAATATCAACCAAACAAAATTGGAAGATAAAATGATTATTTTTTGACATAAGAATAATATAGGGAATTTGCATATAAGAACCCTCATGGCAAAGTTCATATTTTTAAATATTAAGATGTTAATTTCACTTTAGCAGGATCTTAATGGGAACATGTTCCTATAAAAAATCTTTATAAGTTATTATTGTTTTCCAGACCTTCATTAATTATGCTTTAAATGAAACCTGATTAAATACTTAAAGGCTTTAATTATTAATTTAAATCATCAAAGGATTACATTAATTAAATTGTCAGAGATCCTGAAGAGATTATGCCTGTTGGATATCATGAAAAGATAGCAGAAATATTATAACATGATAAATTAGAATTTTAAGAATATGAGCCATATATAAATAAGGAAAGAATCGATTATGATAAAATAGCTACAATTTCATATTATGCTAAAAAGTTTAATGCCAAAATAATGTTAGCAGATATTCCAGCTCTAATTTTCAGAGAATCCCTATGTAACTAATTAACATTACCTTAATTATAATAATATTTTTAAATTGCATGTATGGCAACACCTTAAAATCCAGACATTTTTCCAAATACTCCTATGAATGTAGCATATTAAATTATACCTCATATATTTTTAAAAAGATCAGATGAATTCATGACTACTTTAATAGAATATTTAGCAGTTAAGAAATCATACAAAAGAGTTTTTGGTATATTTGGCAATATGTAATCTGATGCTATTGTAGATTTATTAGATAATAAATGTGCATCCCATTTAAGGTATGAATTGGAAATTCCAAAAATAAAGAAAACTCTTTTCAAAGATTTAACATGTGAAGATTTAGTTGAAAGACATGCAATATTAGATGTGATGTATTATGGAGACATAGAAGAAGAAATTGATCCTGAATAATAAGATTATTATTTTCCTGAAACTATGGCTATTATTGATAAATATGCAGATCCATAATTTATAGATAAAACTAGATCAGCATAAATGAGATATTTACATTTAGAAATGCTCAAAAAATATTCAATATTCTAATAAAAATATTATAAAATTGGTAAATCAAAATTAAAAGAAGAATATATGGAAAAAGCTAATTTAGTGTGATATTATTTGTTTATTTTTAATCTTTATAATTATTATTCATAATTTTTTGTAGAGACCTCTTCATATTTATATTTCTTAAATAAATTTAAAATTGCTTTGAACTTTTCATCTGTATATGACTATAATAATTCTTATAAACTGATTATAAATTAACTATTACCAGTCCCTATTAAGTTCATCTTTAAGCACATATTAATCTATATAAAGGCTTGTTGCTTGATTTTTGATCTTTCAGGATATGTACTTGATATCCTATTGAAGGTATATAATTAAGCATATCATATTTTTTAACCTGGTTTATACATATGTTTAGGATTATTAAAGACAGTTTAGATATAACAATTGAAAAAGAGTATAATTAATTAATCTTCATAATTTATGATATTAATAATATAATAAATTCATCATAAACTTGGAAATATGTTTTAAAATTGATATTTTTTTATTAATTTTAAAACATCTCTAAATTTCTCATTTTATGAAGTTTACATTAATGTGTACATTACAGATTATGAAGTCTCTAAATATACATTACATTATTTTAATCTTTCATAAGCAGTTGATCTATATAATGGTTTACTACTTGATGTACCATCAGTCAATATATAAACTTAATAACCTAATTTAATAAGATCCAAGCATGTTTATTAAACACAAATATGAGTTTCTAATCCATAAATTACAACTTGATTTCTATTAGGATATTGTTTTAATATTTCTAATCCTTTATCAGAAAGCATTGTAAAAGTAAACTTTTCATAAAAATGAGTATTTTATGTGAAAGTATTCTTTAATTATTGAACTGTACTTCCAAAAACCTTAGGGTTTTATTCTGAAACAATAATGGGTATGTCAAAAACTTTAGCAAATTCATTCATCAAACATGCACATTCTATAACTTACAAACAATTATAATTCTTTTAATTTGCTTCATTATTAAAAACATCTTAAATATCACAACAAAAGAACAAAACCTTCTCTTTATCTAAGCTATTCATTAAATAAGTTTATAATTCAATTTTATAATATAATATTAAATGAATTTAATCAACTTTAATGCATCCCTCAATAAATATACATGAATCTTAAGATTACCTTATAATATATCATTTAAATATTAATAAAATTATCATTTATAAAATAGAAATTAAGCACAATAGAATATTGATCACATTTTAAATGATATAAAGTCATTGATTTAATTAATTACTCTTTATTAATTCATATTATTCTTATATATTTTAGATTTCTTCCCATTTTTTTTTTTCATAAAGTAACATTTGTTGTAGAGTTTCTTCAGTATAATCTATCATTCTTAGATTATTTATTTAATTGTTATAATGTTAAACTATTCTATAGATTTTTTCATCTCTTTGGTTATCTAATTCCAATAAAGCATCTTCATATAAAGTCTCTTAATAATCTTCAGTATCAGCCAATGACTAAGACTCACTAATAGGATTGCTTGACATATAGACACCACAACTTGAAGATTTAGCAATAGGTTTTTTGAAATTTCTTTTTTGAATTCTTTCTTTTATTTTCTAACTTTATAAATCTAAGTCTTTTTTAAAAAGAAATGCCATTTTTTTCTATTCCTCTTTTGAATTTTAGATAAATTGTTAAACCTATTTTCTTTTACGTTTTATCTCACTATCTTCATCAGGATCTGTTTTGCATCGATCAGAAAAATGAGACATTAATTAATTTAATTATTTAATACAATCACCCAAACATCTTTAATACTATTTAACCAGATTGCTAAGGTTATCTTTATTTTGCTTCTCTCTATTATTTTTCTTACCTATTGTTATAGATATTTTATATACATTTCTCTTTAAATATCTTCTTAAATTAATTAAACTTTATCAGATAAGTCATCTGGTAAATTCACCTAATTCATTTAAGTATTAATCAATATGATTTTTAGATTTTATTTTGAAGCTTCAACAATTGAAGAATCCAAGCTTTCATCTGTGAAAAGATACATAATTCTGAAAGTACTCTAAAATAATAATAATTTTTAATTGCTCAATAAATAACTGAGTAATAAAAACTTTCCTATCAATATATATGAATCAATTTCTTTAATAGATATTTTACGATATATTGCTGGAAGTAATGAGTTTAAAATTGGTTAAACATTCTATTTAATTTATTTAATTAAGGCTAAGGCAATCTATATTAGATTAGTAAAATGAACTATTATAATAATAATAAATTGTATTACTGTCAATTATTTAATAGTATCTCTAATTATCTTAATGATTATTGATTAAAATATCTAAATTTAATAATAAGTAATAATCCTCTTATCTCATTTTTTAGGTATTAGATATTGTTTATAAAATTGTTTATATATAACCACTATATTTTATACTATATATTTTATCCTTATAAAATTAAATTAATTGTGTGCATCTCATAAATTCATATTCTTATGTTAACAAAAAATCCCAAAATATAATATTGATTTAATCTAAAGCCTAATTATTTTATTAAGATATTTTTAATAAAGATGCTAAACAATTTAATTTTTAATTCTAATCAACTGTCAATTAATAAATTTGAATCAAAGGTTCAAGTATTAGTTAGAATTCAATTTAATGATGAATAAGACTTTAATAAAATTGCTAACAAATTACTAAAGAATAAGGTGCTTCTGCAGCAATAATAGGTAATAAACTTTGAATTCCATTTATCAGTAATTAATTTTGTGGATTTTTATTGATAACTTCAGTTAGTAATTGTATTCCCTTTATTCTATACGTTCTACTTTATAAAATTCTTTCTTTAGTAAGACCCTCTATAGTTTTCTTAAACATATTTTCATTTTATTCAAATGCTCCCTTCATATGATAAATAATAATTTTACATATTATGTAATTATATATCCAATTAAAGTAAAGTGGATTGGCTTATCAAGGTTTGATATTCTCAATAGTTTTGGTAATGACTAATGAAGAAATCCTTGATCATAGCTATATTTTTTTCCATTGTAAATAAAATTATAAGACTAAAATTCTCTTATATGAGATCTTGGTGTACATAGAATTATAAATATATCTTCCAATAATTCTTCTACATAACATTTTAATTATTCTATAAGAGTTTAATCAAAGTAATTAGGTATTTTTCTATATATACTTCCCAATGAAACTATTCTTTAAATTAGAATATTGAGCTATGACTTTTCACTAAAAAATTAGCTAGGTACTAATTTCTTTTTGCATTCATTTAACAAAGGTTTAGATAATAATTAAATTAATTTTGTAGCCAAAAATTCATCTTTTACAATTTTAGCAAATTTACTGATAAGTTTCATATTTGTTAGATTTACTGAAGGAGGGTTTTGATTTTCCCTTCTAATTGTATCACATAATATTGAATCTATTTAAGCTGCAAAACTTAATAAATCCTTTTCCTTGTAAAAAAAGTGTTAGAACATATCAAATGATATTTCCTTAGCTTCCTCATATATTGAAGTTGTAATTTTGAATAGAAAATCAAATACTTAATTTGAAGTATCACATTATTTAAATAGCTTTTACAATCTTTTTAAGAGAAAGATTCTTGTTTTTATATGGATTGGTATTCTCTCTTATTATTCAGGTATCACTTCATCTAAAATATAAGGTTATAAAAGTTAAAGTAACTCTGCAATAGGTTGATTATAAACCTTAATGAATATATTTTTCATTAGATTTCGAAGTTCCATTTCTTCACTTGTGGAATGAACTCTTTAATTAGAAAATAAATTATTTAAAACAAATAAAATAGGTTAAACTAATGAGGGCATGTTATATTTATCAGTTAATTAATCTATAAAGACTGCTATTTTATAAGAAGGTTTTTTTAATAATAAATTAATAGCTTTTGTAACAGTTTATTCTGTATCTTATTCTAATGCAAAATCCAATTATAAAATTTAGAATTGTTTTGACTATAATCTACATCTACATTCTTGATAGATGATATTAAAATAATTATCCTTAATTCCTCCATTTCTAATATAATTCAAAATAATTCCAGAAAGTATTTTAAATTAACATATTTAAATAGGTTTATCACTTTAACTTATTGCAAATACAAGAAATACCCAAACATTTTTGAGTAAACTTGGATCAATCTATTAAAAGAGTTAAATAACTTTAGCCACATCAGTTGTCATTTATGATAATACTTTCATAAGAAGATTTTAAACTTATAATTATACTCCAGTAAGTTTCTTTTTAAGAATCTCTAAAACCAAATAGGTATAATTAGCTTATGATTTTTAAGATAATAATTAATTTAATTATTCTACTTAATCAACATCTTTAATTTATAACATTGAACAATAAAGGTAAGCACATAATTATTAAATTTAATTATCAACACATTAACATAAATTAATAACTTAAAATATTTATTCATTAAATTCTTGAGATACAATAGTATTTGCTTAATATATTTTAAGTGCAATTTAATAAAGACAAAATAAATAACATTATTATTTAGATTATTTTTATTAAACTTCTTTTATGTTAATAACTTATGTTTATAAAGTACCATTTACATATCTAATAAAATTAATTTTATTTTTTAGAGTAAATGATTATGAAGATATAATATGACCTAAAAATTTACTAGCTGCTAAAACTAACTAAAATTCTGATCTAGGAATTCCCAAAAGTTCATCAACATAATGATTATTTTTATGAACATTTACTTAATTCCAAATTGAATTACCATTTATTATATCTTCAAGACAAAATTATACAAGTGAATTTAATTCATTAGAATAATATTTTGGTTGAATTTATCTAATTGCCTAATAAAAAATATATTTAGATGATATCACAAATGGTGATTATTTATCAAATTTACATTATTATAATTTATTAAACATTAAAATTGTTTATTAAGCCAAAAACTTTCTAGTAGTATCCTTAATTTATTTTGATAATGAACTACTATTTAATATTGAAATAATAACAAGACCAACACTACAATAACTTTATAATTATTATTCATCTTTTATTTCATCTTTAGAAGTTAAGTTTTTTTCAATTAATATTCCAATTTCCTTTACTTTATTAGTTGTTCCAAAATATGGAACCATTAATAATTCTGCAATTATGATCCAACCAATTCTTCTTAATTATGAAGATTTATCTAGAAATGATTTTGCAGTTTCCCATAAATGATTTATTAATTCACTTGATATTGAATGTAATTATAAATCTAATTAAGAGAATAATTTTGATAATAATGCACATTAAACTCTTAATTAATTTATTTATTAATTAGTTTCTTTAACATTAAGTTCTGCTAATGTAATTTTAGCATAATTAAGTAAGGCTGATAAAATACTTTATTACCATTTTTTATTTTCTTAAAATAAAGATTCAAAAGTATTGAATAAATTTCTACTTACACTAATACAAATAGGTTTATCTATACTCATTGGATGTTATAAAATATCATTTATTTTAAAAATAGGAGTTAATATATCTATAAATTCAGATGGTTTTGTTCTTTTATCATCAAATACATTTGAACCTAATGTATCAAATAAGAAATTCATTCCTTTCAAAAGTAATTTATATATATAAACATTCCATTTCTAACTCTTTGCTTTAGAAATTTTATCAAAGAAATACTCCAATATATCCTTTCTTTCATTCAATTAAACTTGTTAAACCATAAATAGACATAAATTAACTGTTCTAAATTATTATAAATTATTAGATACTTTTTATAAACAGTATGAAGATATGGATCATCTAATTACATCGATCCTAAATATGAACAAGATATTTCAAATGATCCTCTAATTATTGAAAGTCCTAATTTTTTGAATTCATAAGTCAAATATCTTATATATTAAGTATATATTATACTTTTTATAAGCCAGAAATATGTTTCCTACTATATTTGAAGGAAATTTAGATAAATTTTCATCAAATAATTAAAATATTTTTTATGCTTGTTCTCTTGGTTAAAGTTGTACTTACTACTTTAATTTATCTTTTTTAGTTAAAGCCACTATATTTTATTATTAAAATAAGTATCTAGCAAAATATTTATAAAATAAAGACGAATCATCTGATTTATAGGCTATTAAATACATTTGTTCTGATATTACTTCATTTTCCATTAAATGTATTAGAGTTTGCATTCCTGCTTATTAGAGAATTTCATGTTTCTCATTTAATGTAAATTTCAAGGCTATTTTAAGAATTTCATTCCTTTATGATTCAATTAAGAATTTCAATGAATTACAAAGAAGCAAACGATAATCAGAGTTCTTTAATAATTTCATTAAAGCAGTACTAATATCCTAAGTTAGAGTATAGGAAAATGATTGAATTTCATGTTTAGTTAGTTAAATTAATGTAACAAGTAAAGTTAAAGCAATACTTTTTTATGATCCCTTCTTATTTATATATTACAATAAAGCTTCAACTACTTATTTAATTTATTCATTTCCTGTTTTAGCAATCAATAAAGAGATAGAATTGCAAATCATCTAATAAGTATGTTGAGGAAATGAAAATTAAATAAGTATTTGTACTAATTGGTTTAATTCTGAATTTTATTAATTTTTTGCACTTTCATTCAACAACTCTACTAATCTTGCAAAATGACTCATTTATAATTGTTTATCTGTAGGGACTTATTACTTAAGTTTATCTTGTACACTAGTGATTAAATTCATTAAAAAAAGATTTTTATTTTAATTTAAAATGGTTATCAAGACTGATTTGTGCTCATTTAGTGAATGGCGTATTTATCCTGGACATGGACGTAGATTTGTGGCTAAAGATGGTAGATTATTTTACTACTTGAATCAAAAGAGTAGAGCATTTTCTGCTAGAAAAGTATAATAAGAATTTTAAATACAAGATTAAAAGCCAAGAAATTTAATGGACTGTTGCTTGGAGAAGATTAAATAAGAAGATTAAAACAGATGAAGGAGCAAAAAAAAGAAGAATTAGAAATCTTAAAGTCTAAAGAGCTATTGTTGGTATATCATTAGAAGAAATTAGAAGAAGAAGAAAGGAAGATGATAGTAAATTATGATATTTATATTTTTTTAAATAGAAACAAGAAAAGCTTAAGCTGAATAAGCAGCAAGAGAGATTAAAGATAGAAAATAAAAGTAAATAGAGGTATAAAAGTAACAAAGAAAAGGTGTTACAACAACTCAAAAGACTGCTTAAAAGGCTGAAACAAAAGCAGCATAAAAAGCTGCTGCTAAAGGAGCTGGTAAACCAAAAGGAAAGAAATGATAAATTATTAAATGTACATTAATAATACAATATAAACTACCTCTATAATTAATTAAATCTTAGATAATTATATTAATAATAATAAATAGTCAAAAAATGAATGATTATGTTTATTATCTATATCAATTTTCAATAATTTAACTTAATTTATTCGTTCCTTGCCCAAAAATCAGATTAACTTATTAAATTCATTGCATTCTCTATTGATTATAATTAATTGTTATATTCTTAAGTTAATTTAGCTTTCCATTTTTCTTCAATTTAATTACCATTATTAATAAATTGTTTCTCTTTTTAATAAAATTCTTAATCTTTTTTATTTGATTCAATATCTTCTTTAATTTATCTTATTTTCTCTTCTGCAACTGATAGATTATATATTAATTCTGCAATATCTCTCTTGAAAATCAAAAGTTCTCCATCTAATTAATGTTTTTAATCTTCATATTATTTTTATTATTCAGCATCATAAGCAATATCTGAATTTTTATGATCAACAAATTATTTTCTTAAATTATTAAAAGCTTCTAGTATCTAAAAAAAATAAATAATAAATTATACATATTTTTGAACTCTAGTATCTGTATAATTAGCTGATTCAGTTGTTTCTAATAATTCTTTCATTTCTATTCCTCCAATTAACATTGTAGCAGCAAATATCTTTCTTGTAATAATCTTAACTCTATCAACTTAAATAAATTATTCATTTGCAAATATTCCTTAAAGTAAAGCTATGCACATATCAACTTATGCAATCATATGTTCATATTATGACACTATTATTAATATATATAATAATATACAAGTATCTAAAAATTTCTCATTTTACTTTTATCTTGTGAATGTTAAATATTCTAATTATTTTCTATTTTCATTCACATTTTAATCTAGATTCTCTAATCTCTTATTTATATTAACAATATAATCATGCATCTATGAATCTAAATAATCTGTATTCCTAGCAATAAATGTAACTGTTTCATCTATTCCTAAATCTAATTTCTCATTTTTGCTAAAATAAACATTAATAGCTTTATCACTAGCAAATTCATGATCATGTTTCAAATCTTTTACTTATTCTCTCTAATTAATTATAATAACTATATCTATACCACAGATGTCAAAACATCTGCTAATTCTTTTAAAGCTGAGTCACCAGAAAAAGCTAATTAACTAAGATTCCATGCAATCTTACCCCAACTTGTTTTCTTGTCTATTTCATTATTATCTATTTACTTTCAGTTCTTCCACACCATCCTGTTTACTAATATTTACGCAATTTATTGTGCACAATAGTAAAATAAGAACAAGTTCCGTTTTTTGAGTTTTCATAAAAATATATTTATTTATAACAAATTAAAATTAATACTAAAATTTTTACATATTAACAAATGAATTATTCAATTTTTATTAATTGTTAATATATTTATTTATAAATCCTTATTATGATTAAATGCATTCTTCAATTGATTTATAATATTTTCTATTTCCATATTAGAGGTAAACAGAAATTATATATTGATATTAATTAGGATATTCTTTTTTAAAGTTATTTATATTCTACTTAATTATTTTATCTAATTAAACCTTAATGAGTATCTGTTTCTTAATTTAATATCATTATTATTATTCTTTAATGTATTTAATATTGGCAATGAGGAACTCTTAAATTTTGAGATTATAAATTAAAAATAATAATGGATTAATTAAATTCATGGGGTTATTGTAATCCAACTAATTGGGAAGATAAACTTCCAAAACCATATAAGTATTTCAGTTTATTATGTTAATAGATTCATTAACAAAATCTTAAATACTATGATACTTAATGAAGTCTATAATAAAGTTTTCGAAATTGAAAAATATCGTTCTGATCCAAACTATGAAGGATAATTAAGAACATTGCCTCCATAAGGTGTTTTTGACATTCCATAATTGAGTTGTGTGAGTCGAGATAGTTCAAGCAATTTAGTAGCAGCAGGAGATACTTAGGGAAATTTAATGATATTAGATTTAAGTAAGAAACTAAGAATTGCCAAGAAAGAAACAAATGGGAAAAGAATACTTAAAGTATGTTTAAGTAGTAGAGATTAAGCAATAGATGATTATAAGAATGTTTGTGTGTAGAAAGTCATTACTAATTTAGGATTGGAGTTGTTTAACATAATGATCCAGTAGTGTACATTTATCGTTTCAGGCCATTAGAAAATAAATTATTACTTCATCACACTATTACAATGTCAAAGGACAAGAATGTAATAGGTGAATATCCAGTAGATGTAGACATAAGTTAATTTTCTTAATATATAACTGTTACATAATATAATGGAAGTGTCAAAGTGTTTAGAATTCCAGATTTAAAAATAGATTAATAATCAAATTCAAGTCAAATATCAAATAATAGTGTTGGAGCACAAAGTCCAAGACATTTATAAAGTCAATTCAAACCATCTCCTATAAAAGGAAAAGAATAACCAATAGTGCCTCCTGTACAATAATAGCAGATTTTAACATCTCCTATGGATATAACATGTTCTGAATTAACTGATTTGATTTATTAGGTGAAATTCAATGGAATCAAGAAAACATTAGATTATAATGGAATAATAGCTAAAATTAAATAAGATTTGACTACTCCTAAAGAGCCTCCTCCTGAAGAGAAGGTTGATCCTAAAAAGAAGGCTCCAGTTCCTCAAAAAAAAGCAGTGGAAATAGCACCTGTACCAGTTGTAGAAGAAATACTTTATGATGAAAATGAGAATGGAGCTGTACCTAATGATGATGATTATCCAATTTAAAAATATAGAGCAATAGTTGAATTTATTATTGAAAGATTCAGTATACAAAATGGAAATAAAACATTTAATTCATATAAATAGCATGAATGCATAACAGGAATAGTAGTTGGTTGGACTAATACTACAAAACTTGAATTACATCGTTTTACTAGTGCTAAGAGATCATCACTTCCAGAATATTTAAGTGCTTCTTTTGGATTACCATCTTAATAGCTATTAAAATAGTAAGCATCAATTACAGAGGTCTAAATTCTTTATCCTTTGAGTTGTATGGCCATATCAAAATCATCTGTATATTTAGCTGCTGGATTATAATAAGGAAGTGTATTTGTTTATGATATGATATTGGAATAAGAGAGATTTTATTTAGATAAACATATGTATAATTGTACATAGATTCAATTTTGTGATGATAATAGATTGGTTTCATCTTCATATGATGGAGGTGTTAATATATATGATATAAAGGAAGGTAAATTACTGTGTAAAAGAACACATCAATTTAGAAAGGGTAGTAAAGTGAAAATGGAAGAATAAAAGTAAGGATTATGGAGAATTATTGGAATGAGTGTTAGTCATACTGGAGTGGCAGCTGCATTAGATGCTTAATAAGAAGTTAGAATTTATGATGTTTGGCATGGTGAAAAAATAGGGAAACTTACTCCTTAATAAGTTATGGATGATAAATTAAGATAATGGGTTTAAGAGAAACCATTAGTGGCATGTTATAAAAATGAAATTTTAATTTCAGCTGATGTTTTACAAGTTAATCAATATACAACTTTACAAATATATAAGATATTTGACAATTTGGTTAATTTATTTCCAGGATTAGCTAATATTTATAGAAAAGGAATTGAAAAAGATAAAGTCATGAATCTATTTGAAAAAATATCCAAAAGTGAATTATAAAATCCATAATTCGATATTCCAAATTTACAAGGGAATGCTAATAATCAATTAAAAATTCCTGGTTAAGAACATAGACCTAGTTAATAAAGAGGAAGTCAATAAAGAATTGGGTATGTCTATAAATTAATATAAGATCATAACATGGTTCTCATAAAAGTGGTAAATTACCTCCTGCAGCCCCATCAAGTATTAAAGGAGGTCCTGTATCTCTTATTAATTCATTACATAAATCAAATCATTCAGATTAATAGGTTGATTTTAATTCCTCTTTCAAAAGTTATTAAGCTTCTTCAATGTCTCATAGACTTTCAAAACAAAATTCTAAATAAGCTATTTTGACTAAAGAAATGCTTCATCCTGAATAATTCTTATTAGAGAAGGATAAAACTTTTATTCCACTCTTAATAAAAGATGACACAAGTATGGTTGAACATTGTAGAAGTAGAAATTCTGAAAGGTTAGTAAGAATTGAAAAGGTCAATAATATGATTTAGAAGGTTGGATAATAATTGGCATAAGAAGAGGAAAAGAAGAAACTTCAAGAGCGTCATCGTTAATTATCTTCTGCTAAATGATTAATTAATTATGTATTTGTTGTAATGAGCCTAAAAAATATAAATGTCCTAAATGTGAATAGCCTTATTGTAGTGCTGCATGTTTCAAGCTTCATAATTGCAAACCTATTTAAAAGAAACCTTAGACTTAAGAGCAAGAACCATTCAAAAGTGATTATATTGATGATGAATATAAATTATCTAAAGAGAAATTAGAATTACTTAGTAATATAAATTTATATGAATATAGAAAGAAGTTAAAAAATTAGAAAATTTGTTACCAATAAGCGTCTTTAAAAATTATTGATTCATATTGATAATAGCAAGTACAGATTTAAAGAATTAAATACATGCATCTAAAATGATAAAGATTTTGAGGATTTTTGTACATTGATGTTATCTGAAATGGGACATATTGATGAAAATGGATAATTTAAATGAGCAGCCATTAAATAATTTTATTATAAAAACATATAGTATTTTATCATACTGTTTAAAAATGAATTAGGAATAATCTAATTTATAAACAGAAGTTTAAGAAATTCTAAAATAATAATAAAAACCATATAATAATAATAAACACATGATTTATTTTGTAGAAGTTGCTTTAATATGGGCATTGCCAGCCATCCTGATTAACAAATTGGTTTTCTATTTGGTTTATAAGATTGGTGGAAATCATGAATGTATAGTTGATGTAGCCTACTCTATAAGTCATTTAGTTGCAGGAGTAGTCTATTGTATTTTCTCAACTATATCAACTCCAGCAAGAATTGTAATAATATGTTTTATATTTTAAGATTAATATTGTTCTTGTTGCAATATGGTCATTAAGACTTGGTGGTTTCTTATGTGCGACTAGAGTATTGGTTGGATTTAAGGATGAGAGATATGATAATATCTTTAGTGAATATAATGCAGATAAATTTAAGAAGGATGTAATGGTCTTCGTGTAATTTATGTTCTAAGGATTGATTGTATTTGTCACTAGCATACCATTATATTTCTTGTTTCTAAATGATCTCACTTGGGAACCAGATAGTTTCAATGGTTTGAATGTGATGAATTACATTGCATTATCAATAATACCTTTCAGTATTTGCTTTGAAGCAACTGCAGGTAATTTACATTAAAAAATTTAGATATACAATTAGAAAGATTTAAGAGATTAAAACAATAAGGTTTGATACCAAAAGATGAATTAATGGAAACTGGACTTTGGAGAAAGAGTCGTCATCCAAATTTATTTTTTGATTTAGTAACTTGGTTCTGTTTTGCTTTGGCAGCAATACATGATGCAATAAGTGTTTGTGCTTTAATTGGACCAGTTGCTTTATTTTGTGTAATGGAATTTCTCACAACTCCATTAACAGAAGCTCATATGAAAAAGAAAAGAGGAGATCTTTATGAATAATATGTTGGTAGAACTAATAAATACTTGGTTATGTGATGATTTCTTGTATTATAATTATTAAATAATACTAATTAAATATAGATTCTTTATCTTACTCAAATTTTATTCAATATATAAAATTACTGTCATAATTGAATTTCAACAAAAATTAATATCTCATAAAGAAATTAATAGGAAACTTTAAAATTTATTGTTTGGAAGTTTTAGATAAAGAATTAAAGGATATAGAAGACGTCTTATGTTAAATTAAATTATTTTTACAATTAATTTATATATATAATAATTCATTTTGGATAAAAGAATTAAATGGATATAAATATATTTATTTTGTTAATAAGTTATAAATTATTTAAAAATTAACAAAATTGGTTTATATAGTTATTTAATTGATTGATAATTAAGATGTTTTAGTTGAATTCACTTTTTGAAAATAATGAGTTGGTTAATTAAATTGTGAACTACTTTTAAAAAATATATATATATATATATATAAATAATATAATTTTATAATGAAGTTAGTATTAGTATTTTTGTTGATGTGTATTTATCTAGTATAGAGTGACACAACAAATATTAGTTTAAGTTAGCCATGTTCATGTTCACAACTTTTTGAATATGATTGCTATAGAAATTTAAATTGTGTTTGGAATAACCTATAGTTAAGATGTGAAATGAAATCAGCAACTGAAGAATCGAATACAGAGACTAACACTAAAAATAATACATATTGTACTAAATTTGGATCAGATAAATGTTGGTAAATGGATGGATGTGCTTATATTTTAAATGAATGTGTTTAATTTACATCATGTTCTAGTTATCCTTTCAGTGTTTAAAAACTTTGCTAAATGGTTTCAAGTAAGTGTATCACTGATGGTGAAAAATGTGTTGAAATAAGTGATTGTTATTAATATTCTACTCCTATATCATGTGTTAAAAATTCAAAGGGAAAATATTGTTTTTGGGATTAGTATTGTATGGATGCAACTGATTGTGGCAAATTACCAGTTTAATTTAAGACAGATGCTGAATGTCGTGAATAACTATAATATTGTACAGTAAATCCAAGAGGTGGATGTCAGGTTAGTGGATACAATTGTGAAGATTAAGAATTTGAGATGTAATGTTATTATAATCAGAAATTGGGATTATGTGCATGGGTTGATGGTAAATGTATGGATCGTTCATGTTAAACTGCACCAAAATCAATTAGAACAGATATTGCTTGTTAAGAATATTTTTAGATTTGTACTTTAGATGTTAATGGAGGTTGTAGATAAAGAACATAATGTAATGATGTATAAATAAAGGAATCATGTACATATAATGCAAATGGATCATTATGTTTTTGGAATGAAGGTAAATGTTATGATAAAAGATGTGAAAATGCACCATAAAATATTATATGTTCTTCATTTTTAGAAAATTGTGTACCTAAATCTATTGGAGGATGTATGAGTATTTCTGAATGTTCAAAATATGATCTTGAAGAAAGTTGTAAAGTAGATACTTTAAATAATAAATGTTTTTGGACAGGTAGTATTTGTGTATTACATATATGTCAAAATGCACCTTAAGATTATGTTACTCATGAATAATGTACTGCTTACAAAGAAGATTGTACAGTTAATAATACTACTTTTAAAGGATGTTCAGAAAGAACATGTAATAATGCTCCAACAACATCAACAACATTTCTATAAACAAATTATGATTGTAATAAATATAAAGAAGGTTGTATCACAAAACTTGGAGGAGGATGTAAATAATTAAATGAATGCAGTGATATAGATGTTGAAATAGCTTGTGTAGTAGATAAATATGGAAGAAATTGTTTTTTTTATAATGGTTAATGTGCATTAAGAATATGTGAAAATGCACCCTTATCTTTTAATAGTCATGAATAATGTTAAGAATTTAATTAAGAATGTACTGTAGCAAGAACACTTATTGGATGTGTCAAAATGACATGTCAAATACTTACATCATAAAGTACTTGTAAAGTTGATTTAAATGGTAATCGTTGTTTTTGGACTGGTCTTTGTTATTCAAAGACATGTGCTAATGCTCCATTTGAATATGATTCAGATTTGAAATGTAAAACTTATTTGAGTTAATGTACTATTGCTAATAGTGGACGTGGATGTATAATAAGACCAGCTTAATGTAATCAATTAGTCTTAGAAGAATAATGTTATATTACATCGAGTGGTTAAATTTGTGGCTGGTTTGAAGGAGCCTGTTATGATAAAGCTTGTTTTACTGCACCTTACACATCTGATTATGATACATATGAAGAATGTGATATGTATTTAAGTGGATGTACAGTTGCAAGTGAAGGTAATGGAGGTTGTATTCTTTTGGATTCATGTACTACTTATACTGCCTAAAGAAGTTGTCGATTTAATAATTTAAATTAATTATGTGAATGGACTGGAAATGCTTGTTATGATAAATCATGTACAACAGCTCCTTAAGATGCTGATCATGATTCAAATGAAAAGTGTGAAGCCTATTTAGTAGGATGCATTGTTGCTCCAAGTGGTTAGGGATGTATTTCAAAACCTAATAGTTGTGGATTGATGAGTACAAGCACTTAATGCACAGATACTTCAACTAATTCACTTGGAGGACCATGTGTCTGGGTTGGATCTTGTGTAAATAGAACTTGTGCTAATGCTCCAGTTTCTACTAATTATGATACTCATTAAGAATGTTATACATTTCTGTCTTCATGTACTGTAGTATCTACAGGTATAGGAGGTTGTATGACATAATTGAGTACTTGTGCCTAATATACAACATTTAGATCTTGTCAATTAGCATCTAATGGTTAGAAATGTGCTTGGTAATATAATTATTGTTAAAATCGATAATGTTCATATGCTCCTGATACTAATGAATTTGATTCTGATACAGAATGTAATAATTTCCTTAATTCTTGTACTGTTGTTAGAAGAATTAGTAATTTAGGTTGTACATCAAGATTAAGTTCTTGTTAAGATCTTACAGAACAATAATGTATTAGTGATAGTGCAAACAATTTATGTACTTGGGATACAACTCTACCAACACCTCATTGTAAGAATAGATCCTGTTCTTTAATGATAGGATATACTTATACATAAAATAATTGTAAAAATTGGTTATCTGGATGTGTTGTTGATAATAATTCACCTCATACAAGTTGTATGAGTAAGAAATCATTGTGTAGTCAGTATACAAATATAGATAATTGTGAATTATCTACTAGTAATGGTTATTGTACATGGAATGGTTCATCTTGTGTTACTAGAACTTGTGCTACTACTTAAAATATCACTGATTTTAATCATACAACTTGTAATACTTGGTTATCTTCATGTACTGCAGGTCCTCCTACTAGTTGTATTTAGAAACCAACTAATTGTTCAGATTATGTTAATTATGATTAATGTTATAAGAATTATTCAGATCATCCTTGTACTTGGGTTAATGATGCATGTATTGAAAAAACTTGTATTAATCATGGATATTTTGTTACTGTATTTAATTAAACTAATTGTAATAATTGGTTATCATCTTGTTCTGTTAATCCAGGTAATACTGCTTGTGAAACTACAAGAACTTGTGCTAATTATACAGGATCTACATTTACACATTCTGATTGTAATTCTTGGTTAAGTGATTGCACAACTAATGGAACTTAATGTGTAAATAAAACTTGTACTAATCATGATTCAAATGTGACTTTATTTAATAGTTCAACATGTTCAACTTGGTTTAGTGAATGCACAAATGATGGATCAACTGGTTGTAAGAGTGCTAGAACTTGTACTAATCATGGAAGCAAAGTTACTATATTTAATCATACAAATTGTACAAATTGGTTATCATCATGTACAAATACAAATACAGCTTGTACAGCTAGAACTTGTACTAATTATGGATAAAATATTCTATTCTTTTCTCATGATACTTGTAATACTTGGTTATCTACATGTACAGTGACATGGGATTAATTAGGTTGTGAAACTAAAACATGTACTAACTA